AAGCAGTGGACCAGAGAATTATAGCTACCTGTTAAACAGAGTCCCACGCTTTGCTCTGCTGAGGCTGCGTGCTTCACTGAAGCCAGCAGTGATGAACATGCTGTTGCATTGGCACGATACTGAAACTGCGTAATTCTTTGGTTTACAAGAAAAATTTTTCTTTATCTATCATTCACAGAAGCTAAGGAGAAAGAGCTTAAGTGAAACCATTACCTTCTGTTCTAACTCGTACGCAGTAATTCAGTTTATTCTGGGGTCAGCACAGACCCCTACTCAATGAAATAGCAGAAGTGTATGTCAGAGCGAGCAATGGTGAAAAGAGGAAGAAAAAGTCTTCCTCTTACATTTCTGTATTTCCTCACTTTTCATGGCACAACATGACTCGTACTGCAGGTGACAGAATCAACCTCAGAAGGAGCTGATATTTGTTGCCATCTATCCTGGAAATGAAAGAAGATGCAAGCTCTAAATACAATAATAATGCTTGTTCATTTTAATTATGGTTTGGAGTTTTTTTTGTTTGTTTGTTTGTTTGTTTTTCATGTGAGGCTTTTTCTCAGTCCTGAAGACTTCAATTCTGATCTAAATATGGTGAGAGTAGTCAGGGATGAAAACCTATGGAGTCTCATCTTCTATTGTTTACTCCATTTATCAGTCAGAAGAGAAGCAGATTTAGGGATATTGAAGGTCTACATGCAATGCAATCAAAGTCTTGCCAACAGTATTTCAGCTTCTTGGTGACCAGAAAAATGGCGTATTTTCTTCCTGAGTTATAGAAAACCATAAGGGATTTGTATCTGTTTTCTTCTATCGGCTAACTTACACTTAAAACCAATAAAATTATAAATACATTTTATAGAATAATGAAACAAAAATAAAATAGATGTTTTGCAGTCTTTGGTGCTGTTCAGAAGACAGCTAAGATTCGGGCAGATTCTTGGATGCTGCCGATTTTGTTCCAGGACTGCTAGAAATGAAGAGTGTTCAGCACCTCCTGGGAACAGACTTGATCCTGAAGTCACTATTTATGCAACACTCCTATTCCAATCTGTGGGAGTTTTGCATGAGTTAAGTGTCAGTCACTTTGACATTTAGCCCAGCTGGTAGAATGATATACCATGAGTATCTGGTGCATTTTCATCTGAATTTCCTTTTCCACACAGTACTTTCTCTCCTGCTTTGCTACCCATCCTCTAGCTATTCTGTGAATGCTAAAGGCACCATGTGGATTCTAATGGTACCAAGTAGTGTGTCTGGTTTAGAAAGCAGCCTTACAGGGAGCTTTCCTGCAATAACAGAAAGGTGGGTAATGTCAGGAATGGAGAGGAAATGAGCGCAAAGAAGAGCCAGGAATTTCTGAATGTAACTTTACCACTAAAGCTCACGTGAGTACATCCCAACATGACATGACAAAGGGGCTGGGACAGCAATGTTTACTGTTGCTTCTGACTCAGAGGAGCATACCAGTTCTACTGCAGAACCCATGAGAAACTGTATCAGTAGCAATAGCTATAAGCTGAAGGAAGTCTTTGTTGGTAAATGTTGCTATATACATTTCTATGGTAAAGTGGTTATTTAGCTAGTTCGAAGTATCTTGGGTTTTTTTGGACTCCACAGATCCCATAGTATTGCACCATACTGGTTCAAGTACATACAGCAAGATACCTCAAAGAAAACCTGACAATATTTAAAACAGAATTAGTGTTCAGCAAACGCTGTCTTCAAATTTTCTTAAAACTATCATCACTGGAAAATTCACATAGAACAGTAAACACTGAGAAATAACCAAAGAGACTTTGATTTTTCTTTCCCAGCAAATATTTCCTAGTTCTTTCACTTGCCAGTCTCACTGCCACAGACTGGCCCAATTTCTTTACTTTTACCTTCTGATTTCCCCTCTCAATCTCAATGTTTTTTGTATTTTTGTCTCTGTTCTATATGTATTTTCTTTGGCTTCAGATTAATTTAGCACTCAAGAACGCTTGCCTTGGAATGCATAAGTCCTATTTGTCTATGGTGGGATTGCTTATACACCCAAGTAATTTGTTTAGCCAGATTTTTGCTTCCACAAAACTATTTCACATAATAATTTATCCATGTGAAAAAGTGTGGTAATTTTCACCCAAATTACATCATCATATTTCCTGTATTGAAGAGGGAGAAGCTTACCAGGCATTAAATGTTTTAGTGCCCAAGCCTCACAACTTTTGCTTAGTTCTAGACCATTCATTAGTTCTGCCACATTTGTTACAGGGAAATTCATGTATACGTACTTAAGAAAAAAAAAAGAAAAAGGGGAAATGAGCTTTCAGGTGACCTGGAGAATTGCTCAGGAGCCTAGAAATATCATCTTCCATCATTTTCCACACAGTCTGTGTTTGAAGTATCTATTAAAGCTGGCAGACACCATAAAAGACCCAAGGGTGGCCCATTCCATAAATTACCTTGCTGGACATTTCAAATAGCTCTAAACAGATGTACTTGGGCATTTACATTCCAACCCAGGTCCATGTTTTAGCTCTCTGAGATCAGTTTTTGTAAAAGAGATAATGCTCATTTAGAGCAAATAGTTAGCATCCTTAATCATTAGGATCACAGAATGTTAGCAATCTCTGACAAAAGCATAAAAATGGCCACAAAACTAAAGATACATAAGCATAACAATAATAAGCATCCCTTTGTTGTAGATTTGCCTGAACATTTTTTTGGCACAACTGCAACGCTTCACCCCAAATCACAGAGAGAATACTTTAAATTTCTGAGTCACACCTTGACTACAAGCTTTTATTAAAGGCGCTGAAATGCTTTGTTCAACGGTGTCAAATATGATGATTTAACCCCCTAAAATGTGTTCAACATCTTGTATTTGTGTATGATTTAGTGAAGGCTTTACAATCTTCCTGGTTTGCAGGAGTTTATGAAGGCTACTTTAGAACTCTATATCAATCTATTCATCAGCAGACTCCAGTGCATTTTAATGCTCAAGTTGAATATGTCTCTTGCACAGCAGGGCTATAAGATACATGTCTTTAAACTCTAGGATCAGATGCCGTTGCAAAAATGTTGATGTGAAAACTCTGAAAGTCAGCATGATAAACCCGAAAAAAAAAAAAACCTCCCCTCCCTAAAATTAAAACCACACATTTGATTCAGTTGTGTATAATCAATGAATATTAAGATATTACAATTACAAAATAAACAAAAGAGTCTGGCAAAACAGATTACGACAACAAAAAGAAAATAGATAGAAAGCTTACCTGTATCCTGGGCTCACTTACAAAACTCCAGCAGAGTAGATCTCCAGAAAAGAACCTACCCCAGTCCCAGTCAGCTCTTAAATTGGTCTAGGAGAGGTGCAGCCAGGCTTCACCCCCTTCCGGCAGCCCAGGTGAATTGCCTTCACCTGTGCTCCTCTGGCTAACACATTGCTTGCTTCAGGTGGTCAATCAGAGGTTCAGGCCGTGACCCAGCAGTTCCCATACAAGTTGACTTAACTTTGTTGCCGCGGTAAAATATCCCATGACTAAAAGTAAAAAAGAAATACAGTGTAACCTTCCATCCATTAAGCAATTTATTAGTAAAATTAGATGCTTTAAACAGGCCTATGTTAAAAGATGAATGCTTATTAAATAGAAGGTTATCTGAAGCACTGTACTAGAATTGATAGTTGCATGGAAAAAGGAAAAAAATAATGTATGAGAATTCAGAAGATTAACGAGAAAATGTGCCATTTAAAAACTTTTTCCTTCTCAGGCACTTGCAGGAACACTATCTATTCGTATTCCAGTAGTAAAAAGGACGAAATATAGTAATCAGATTGCAAAATCTTATTGGTTAAGTGAGTCTTCAAACGCTACAAGAAGTGAGAAATACAAGCAACTGCTGCAATATGTCACCTGTATCAAACCTCCTTTTTTCATCTTTCCTTTCTGTGTCGTTTCCCATCAGTCTTATAAAACTGTACAACTGCACCCTTGTGTAAAGCCCACTTTACATATATTGTAGAATCATAGTATTGTTTGAGTTGGGAGGAACCCTTGAAGGCCATCTAGTCCAATTTCCCTGCAATGAACAGGGATGCCTACAGGTAGATCAGGTTGCTCAGAGCCCTGTCCAGGCTGACATTGGATGACTCCAGGGATGAGGTATCCACCACCTCTTGGGGCAACCTGTTCCAGTGCCTCAACGTCCTTACTGTAAAAAACCCCTTCCTTATATCCAATCTAAAGCTTCCTCTTTTAGTTTGAAACCATTTCTCCTTGTCTCATATATCTATGTCACCAAAAAGATAAATCACAAAAGAATTAACACTTGTGTTTTAAAATAACTATATGGCAGAGAACTAAACTGGGTAGCCAATTTCTGCTGTTTCACAAAAATCTCACAGGCTGCCCTGCTCTGTCCTGCTTCATGCACCCAAGCAGGATGATAACCTGCCAGGTGGAAAAGAGAGTGGCATCCAGAATATGTATCTGTACCGTCTGTTCAGGCCTCTTCAGAAGAGAACTCCTGCTGATACACAGCAATTATATTTTAAACAAAGATATTCTGCAGACCACAAATTCCTGTAAATCTCCATTATAATTCACACAAACAAAATAGAGATGGAGGGTTATACAGATGGCTAGGTACTGCAACGACTTTCTTTAGCACATAAACATTCTCATACTGTTTGAGAAGACCAATTAGGAGCTGAAGTCTCATTTTAAGATACAGCTTTTCTCCCCTACCACTTAAACTCTATTAAATATAAATACTTTATTCTCATTAGTGGCTGAACAAAGGCTTTATTTTCCAATAAAACGACCCAGAAGTCATGAAATCTCAAAATTATGTAGTGTTCTTATCTCTAGTAGATATTGCCTTTTATTTTTTTTTTATTTTTTTTTTTTTAACTTTTCCAGAAATCTATCCTTGAAAGAACTCTGAGCCATAAGTGGAGGAATGCGTTTAATACTCTGATAGTCATCACTCACGTAGCTCTCCATTCTTGTTTACAGGATAATAACCAGTGATCCGCCATGCAGCATGGAAGTTCTGCTGTGAGTCAGTTTCCTCAAGTCAAAGCTATTGGATGACTGATGCCCTGACTAATTAAACAACTAGCCAAGGTTTATAATTCTTGGACAAAACCTGTCCCACCCAGAAGGCTACTCTGCCTCACCCACTGTGAGCAAAGTGAGTAGATTGGATCAGCAAAATATGCAGCTCTGAATTATAGGAGTATCTTTGGCTCAAATTGAAACTAATTCAAGAGACCTGCACATCATGGCACCTCATTTGTCCCCCAAAATAGAAGCTAATGTGAAATATGAATTTCAATATACAGACCTATGGAGATCTATGGAAAGCTTCCTCCCCTTCCTTAGATGAGGAATTTAACATACGTACCATGTATGCATTTGTCTTTATTCTTCCTCTTCTCTGCCACATCTTCAGGCACAGCAAACATAAGGTTTACAGCACTGTCTACCTGTCATGTTTATGGGGAGCCACTCAGCTGCAGAAAGAGTCCACAGAAATGAACACTTGACCACAGTAGGTTTAAACAATTCCTACCAAAAAGTGAGCTTCAAACTTAACACAGAAATGTGCCAGAAAGTACAATTTACATCCTGAGGGGAAGAAAGAGTTGAAACAAAACCAATTTAGATTATTTAGGGATTTATTCTGACCTCTATTGACTTAATTTATAAGGTTTCTGCCTTTTTGCTTCCGCAACTACTGCGATGTTCCTGCAAAGTATATTCAAGCTATCCAGAATTCTGTCTTTCACTAAGTATTTACATTCATAATCGACATGATGAAACATAAATTTGTTTAAAGTGCCACCATAACTCAGAGGCACTACAGTTTAAAACATTAAAATACCGCGTTGAAGATTTTTAAGCCTAAATTTGGATTTTAAAAATCTCAGGCTCAGAATTCCCACTTAGACACATCAGGAAAGAGCCCAGTTTTCAGTAATTGGAAATGCTAATTTTTTTGTGAGTTTCAGAAATGGACCACAAAAGATTATTAGCTGGATAAGGAAGCATAGGGAGGACACTGCAGGCATGTCTATTCCAATAAATGAAGAATGGAGGAGAGCTCAACAATTAATGGGTAAAGTGGTCAAAGTACTTTTAGGAAACAAATTTTCCATCACCTGGAACTAGAAGAGGAAACCTGTTCAAAACATGGAACATTATCTCCTAGCTGCATTCAGTTTTAAAATGGATGACCTGGGAATCCATCTGACATGACCCATGCAGGATAAGGAAATATTTTTCTTCTCAAATTTTCTTTCTTGCCAACTGAACAACTGAATGATGCTCCCCTGGAAATCAAACCAAACCAAAAGAAAACAAAAACCTGTGAGCAGTCCTTATGAGCATTTTTCTGTATTTTAAAAACTTTGCAAAAACTTTATCACTGAAATAGTCTGAGAAAATGCGTAAAACACAATAGAAGAAACTGGAGAAAATGCTTTCAGTTTCTCATGATGTAACAGCTTCCTCATGTGCTTGTCATTGCTCCTATTGTCAGCTATGCATGGCCACTCCTCTCTTTCTGTTAGTCATGTATGTGTCAGCTCCAAATGACAGCATTCCAGCCTTAATGGAAAATCATAAATAGGTTTTCATTCTTCATCGCAAAAATGTAATCATTATTAACGACACTGGCATTCATGTGAGTGTAATAAGCATTTTTTTGTAAGAATCTGACGATAATTTTATATTGCATGAATTTCACTTGGTATAGAACTTTGGTGACAGCTTTGAGAGAATAGATGTTAGAGGTTATTTCTATTGTCTTAGATAATGTTCTGAGCCTTAAATGAAAATTGAGGACTTAATCCTACAGAAGCAGAATTTGTGTCAAAATAACTGGATCTCCCTTCAGTTCTAAGTGGAATCAAGTTCTTTGCTATAATTAATCAAAAAGTTTTCTTAGTGAAAGTTAAGTTTGCTTCAAGAAATCCTAGACAGGATGTTAGAATAATCAAAAGTTCATTGACTACCTCAGAAGAGTGCACAACTAATTACATAATGAGAGCTCACCTCATTTTACCATGCCTAATACTGTAGTGAGGACCATTCATTTTCATGAGATTAAAGTCATGAACAGCTCTGGAAAGAATGAGAAGTGGCTTTGTTGCTACCACCTCTAAAATGGGGGGTCCTGGGTAATCTTTGTTATATATGTAAGTGAAATTATGTCCACATTCACTTCCTTTTTTTCTTTCTTTTAAGAAAACTCCTTGATGTGAGGAAATGGAGAGAATGAAACAGCATTTGCTTGAAAAAGTGAAGGCAAAAAGCAACGTCAGGATGATGCCTATCCGCTTTGACTCTTCTGAAGGGTAGAGTAGCCCTTACAAAGGCACGCATCTGACATTCCAGGGCTACTGAAGGGTTATTCAACAGACTCTAACAAGAATACAAGTGTCAGTGCCAGTAACAGTAACGATCTGGTGGAGACTTCACCAGGAGCTATGCTTTACCCAGTCTTGAGATAATAGACATGCCACCTGCATGTACTACTTCCTTGCATTCTGCCACCATGTCACCAATCTGTGACAACATCATTAGCTCTCTCATTAGCTGACTTCAGATTTATTTCTTTGTGATATCAAAATCCAAATTGCTTGAGAAATACCTGAGTATATACTGTTTAACATAGTATCAAGATTTGTTTAAGTGCTAATAAACATGGATGTAAACACATCATAAGAGTCTCTTTCAGCACACTTTCTGTGCTCTGGTGAAACTTCCCACCATCTGCTGGAAGCTTGCCTATCTCTTAGAGATAACTGTGAGCAGGGGGATGGTGCCATACTGAGGGTGTACAGGGCGGTGAACTGATGGAAGCCCACAGCCAGTATTGGGTTGCCTGCCATCAGCCACCAGAGGTGACATTTACTCTACAAGAAAAAATTATGAATGCTGATTAACACCATCCTGACCTTTCTTCAGGATCTCACGGACAGAAATTTAGAGGTTTATTTCAAACATTCAGCTTAAGTAATTGCATATCTTATTTTTTAATTCCAGAGGTCTTGGGAGCAGTGCCAGAGCTGAGCTAGAGGGGATATCATTCATTATCAGTAGTCTAATCTGTGCTGAGAGACAGAGAGTCCTCTAGCACCAGCGTGTCCAAGTTTCAGAGGATGGTATGGCACTTTCAGCTCCTCCATAACTCAAGCAGTATGAGTTTCTTTCATGAAAAAATAAAGCACAATCTGTGGTGTTATATGAACAAAAACTTTAAATTGTGGTGCTTTTGCCGTCCATGTTTGACTGTTGAGTTGCTGTCAGATGGTGCTTCTGCCAGCCATCAATACAAAGAAATCACCAGTTTATCATTAATTTTTATGCTGTATTTTATGATGTCATTGCTGTCATTACCTAGATCTGTGATGTATCCAAATCTCTTTTGAAAAAAAAGAAGAAGAAGAAGAAGAAGAAGCAGCCAGTAATTCTATCTTAGGCATTCCATTACTTTGTTCTTTAAGGATATATATGTAGTCAGTGAATAGATCCAACTACCATGAGCAAAGAGCAGATGCATGCCCTGCCCTGGCCCATTACCCTCTTATTCGTTTCAATACACTGCTTGATTTGTAACTATTACTCCTTGCTCAGCTATTTATTTTATGGTAGCTCATTGCAATTCCTGTCATTGCTTCCTCCTTTTTTATTTATTTTTTTTTTTTTTTCCATTTTACCTGATGCAGCTTGGCATGTTTGATAAGCGTAAGTGGGCCCAACTCAGTCTAGGCATCTGCAAGCACAATGCAACTGACATCAGTCAGAGACACTAATAACAGGATGGACTTGGCACCACGGATGCATTGCAGGTATCAGTGCAAACCGATGACTTCATTACTGCCTTTATCAGTTTCACCCACCATCACGGTCTCAAAATCTAAAATGTAAAATTCTTAGTTTCAAGAAACATGAGAATTTCCTTCAGTGTTTTCTACCAGGCTCCACTGCCACTCTAGCTAAAGATTTCCATTTCTCTTTGTGTTTTCTGCTGTCATCATGGGACCATATTTGTTCCCATCATCTATGGTCTCAGCACCAGGACTCGAAAAGATGAGGCAGTTTGAGCTGTGCTGTATTATTTATCTCACCTACTTTCCCTTCAGAAAGAAATGACTCTGAACTCTTCCTCCTTCCACTCTCCCCCAAATTTCTTCTCTCCTCTGCTAGATATTAAGAGTCAGCAGAAATAGAAATTCTAGGTATTCGAGTGGTGGCAGAGATATTTTTTTATTGTTGTTTTAATTTTGCATTACATATGTACGTCTATCTCTGGTAAAAGTAAGTTGTTTTTCTAACTGAAAATATGCCCAATATGCTTATCTGTTAATTTTGTATTCGCAAGAAGAATGAAACAAAATGCTACAACTGTTGCCATCTAGAAGGAATAAAATTTCAGACTCTGGTCTCAACTTTATGTATTTGAAATGTAGATTTGAGTATTTCAGTGCTAGCTGGTTTATAGGAAACTCATAGGTAATGCTTCTTGAAAGTGGTGAGGTACATCTATTTGCTTAGTCTCAGAAGAGAGGAAAAATAATTGTAACGCTTACATTTTCAGAGTAGTGGACATACCTTGCTTTTTTTTTTTAAGAATCTTTAAATATTGGATTAATCAGAGTCATCACATAAGAAGTACGAGATTGCCAGGTGTGGCTTCCTCTCTTCTCGACAACCTACTCTGCAGCATCCAGAAGAATAAGCTATGTGAAATAACTAAATTGCAGCAATAAATGTTAGGCATCTAACATTGCTTTGTGAAATTAAAATATAAAAGCAGGCATAGGAAATGTAGAAAATGGAGAAAAATCTGCAGATTTTACAGGAGGTGTGGACAGAGAAGGGAGAACAAGGAAATTGTACAGACTTTTAACATAACTACTTACGACTTTTTCTGGGGGTTGTATTTCTTTGTAGTCTTCCTCTACCCTTCTTGACTCTCCCTATAAAGTATTTTATGAGACATGTTAAGTATTTTATGTAAAAAATAAGTTGTATCACATTGCACTGTAGGTCAAGGCAGGAAGGACACATTGCCTGAATAGCCAGTTAATCTCTTTCATCTTTCTCATGCTGTCATTAATGCTTATCTGTTCCCATAGCTATTGCAAAGTCATCTGTTTTCTCCAGTGGCATAGTGCAATAATAAAATCTTTTGATTTGACATACTAGTTGTTTGTAATGCTAGTTTTATTCATGTTCATTTTGAGATCAGATTTGTGCTTTCTTGGTTTTATCATGTTCTCTTGATTCTACTGTCTGGGAATTCAGGAGCTTAACCTCACTTTTCTGTTATCTTGTGTGAGAGTGGTTTGATGTTGATGCATATATCGTTAAGGGGACTTGTTTTTGATGTTACTGATAAGGATCCTATGAATTAGTTGGTGTTTCTCTGTGGGGCTTTTTACCCCAGTGATTATCTAATAGTCTGTCTTTTGCGTGTAAAATCTGTTTAGGGTTTCCCTGCTTGTTTTATGTTGAAAGGGGGATACATCATGAGCTTCCATGTCCTGGTCTGATGGCAGAAGAGACCTTACCTAATTCAGAGTCTTTGACCAGCTCTGTCAGCTTTCTGAACCTGTGCAGGGAATGTATTTCGTCTGTGATGGTAAAAGGTTCATCCAAACATGATTTAAGGCAAACAAAATGGCTAAGGTTATTAGCAGCCACTCTGTTTACACAACTCTCAAATCTCTCTCATTTCAGGATGTCTAAAATTCCTGTCTCACAAAAAAACCATGCATTTTATTGCTTTTGAAAAATGTTTCTAATATTGTTTATTATGTATAAATGAGAAGCAGAACGTATATAAGTGAATTACCCTAAAAGAAACAATACTGCAGCTCTCTATATATCCTTGGGACTTTTTTCATTTCTTCTGAGCCCTTGTGAGATGTTACATTTTTTTGGGGGCATCAACGAATTGAGAAACACGACCTGCACCTCATCTATTACTGCTCACTTATTTCTCAGCAGTTATTCCTCAAACGTTCAGGACTTTGTGTGGCACATGTGTATATTTATCAATTCACATGCAACTGGAGAAATGCAAAAGAACTGGAGGGTGGGGAGATAAATGCTGACCACACCTCTGCTGAAGGACCTGGAAATGGCCAACTGACAGGAAACACTAAAAACTCTTCTTCAAATGTCTGTCATTGCCAAGGAGTCCAAAGAGAAAAATATCCTCTTTAGTGTATGAATTAAAAAAATTTACACAGAAATAATCCGTTTCCTATTCAAAGTCTTGGAGAGGTCCAGCCGCCAGCAAGGTTATATGAACTGTGCTACAGAGAAATAACATCTGTTTACAGAGAATACATACGGTTTGCCGCTTCAGGAGTTAGAGACATTGCTACAAGGAGCAGCTTTGTGCATGTGAGATTCACGTAAATTCATGTGAAAGTAATTTGATCCTAAGATTCAAGCCTGAGCTTTAATAGATCCAGCCATTCTAAGCAAACAGAACAAATTAAGGTAAATGAAAATTAATTTTGTATTAGAGGACAAATGTCTGTCAGAGGGAACTTCTGCCACCGTCTTGTTTCTTGACTTGAAAAAGGACTGAAGTTGAATATTTTAACACGATTTAGTAAAATTCATAAATTTAAAGCACGAGAGAACTTATTTTTACTTTCTCTGGACTTTGATACTTTTATTTATCATGACAAACTTAACATGATGTTCATATGGAATTCACTGCAAGCATCAAGTGGATATTTTTCCAGTCTGTGCAGTGGCACTTACCTATCTTATTTTTTAGAATATTACAGAAGATATTCTCTCTGAATGACCAAGAAGAACATTTCTGTACTTTTTTTCCACCTTTCCAGATGTAACTAGCTGTATCTAGCTGTAGCCTCTCTTCTTCTATCAGCATCAGAGAAGCATAGTAGCATCAATCATTGCTCCTGTTTTTGATTATATTTTTGGTTGTTCAATTTTAGTATGCAACAAAACAGTAGATGTGGGACTGATTTTTTTCTTTAAGCAAGAATGATTGTGAGAACTTAAGTCAGAGCCCCCAGCACATTAAGAGCATCAAAATGAGTTTTACTGCTTTCATTAGGCTTTTACACAGTAGTTTTCTTTGAAGTGACTTAGTGCATAAATGGAGGAGACACTGCCTGGGGTGCCGGGAACTTATGGCATAACAACACACAAGTATGTAATAAGCAAGTCTACCAGAACAGTACTGGATTTATTTAATACACTATATAATTGCCCACTTGTTCTGTATAGGCCAATATTTTCAGTCTGTCGTATGAAGAGAGGGAGACAACAGTCCCTCCAAAAGTCAGTATGTACATCTGAGAGTAATTTCATGCCCATGCTGTTTCTGAAAGCTGAGCCCATGGGTTGTGTTAGATGGTGACAGAGAGCTGCAAAGCAAAAGACTCTAGCCTGTTTCCCTTCCCTTTTCCCCATAACATTCTTTTGCCAATGACTGAGAGGCATCTTTGCTCAGTCTTTGTTGCCCCAAGCATAGCATCTGATAGACTGAGTAGTACTTAAAACATGTCCATGTCATCATCTCTTTGATTTGGAAAAAGAGAAGGAAATTGGCCTCAGCTACATCATGTTATTTGTGGTAGTTATGCTAAGTTTTGTGCACTTATCGCTGCTTAAAGGGACTAATAAAAGTGTCTTGTTCCACTGCAACATAGCAGTAACCCTATAGGCTTGAAAGTTTGCATTCTTTTTTTTTTAAATGATCATTTTTCATGCAAGTAACATATATTTAACATAAGGTGAAACTACAAATTAGTGAACTTAGTCTAAAGATTGTAATAATATTTATCTTCAGCACTGTTTGAGTGTTTCAATTCTCGTGCCAGTATAACTTACTGCAGCATATCTTCTTTTTAATCCTTTTCTACAGATTATAGTGATGTCAGCCCAACAGCACTAGGTTTTCCTTTGTGATAATGAAAATGACTTACTAATACGCAATATATTATATTCTTTGTGTAAACTCTGCTAGGTTTTACTTTTGACATTTTCTATATGAAGTCTGATTTCTTTTTTTACTCCAGTTTAATTTCTCTTTCTCTTCTTAAGTATCTTGCTATTTTAAGAGAAGTTCTGTATCTGCAACGTGCTTTAAGAAATAGCTGGCTTTGAAAGTGCTTCATGCTGATTTGCCATAAACAAGTTACAGAAAGTAGTAGCATAGTTACTCATGGCTACATTTTAGGAGTTTTGCAATCAAGCAACTATAGTATTGCTTTCAGGAGCCAGTGACCTCAATGAATCATTTATTTCTCTGAAGAATAAATGGATTTGAGCCTGATGTTTACATCAATAATGATTTTGATTTTCCATGAAAGCCTAATAGTCAAATTAAAAGTAATACTCTGTCCTATTTATGTAGAATGTTGTTATCACAAAGTGAAAACCCTGCATATTTAAGCCTGCTTTCTTCATGCAGCTATGTCAACTCTGGATGCAAAATTAATTCATGCAGTTATTCATTACAGTTTCTATGCATTTTAATACTTATGAACTGTGTTCCCCAGAAGCTGGAAGAATAATTGCAAAAGACTGATAATTGACCCTTATGGAACAACGAGTAGATACTCGTATAGATGATCTATACTTAAAGAAAAAGACTTTTAAAATAACTAGAAATCCACTGAGTTATCACACATTATGAATTCTCTCCTTGGGTAAAAACTCCTTGGCTGTTATTACAGCAGCAGGTTCATAACGATGAATCATGGTTGGCAAAGGCTATTTAATCTTTGACTTCAGGACTGTGTTCAACCTTGAACACTTTCATGACTGTCAGTTATATTTATAATTTGCTTTCTTAAATACTGATATATCTGATGCAATTAGGCAACAACAAGTGCTTCCCATTAACTACTTAATCCTGTTCCTATGCTTGCTCATGGCCATTTGAAGTGACTGCCTGGTACCAAACACTGAAGAAAACAGCCTGAAATACATAAGGCAGAACAACACTCAGGAATCATGCTCAAAGAGTCTTAGGTACCTTTTGGCTGTGACTGAAACAGGGTCTCCAAGGAAAATCTCTTTGCATCACAAAAGCATCTTGTGGTTTTACTTCCTTCTACTTGACTTACAGTTTCAACCTCATAAACTAGCAGGAGCTTTATTATTGGTAAGGCAGAGGTTCTGTAGGAGAGCTGTGTACTTAAAAGCTTGCACAAACTTACCCACAACTATTCCTTGGTTCCTGTTAGCGGTGTTAACCTCTTCCTTTCTAAAGCAACAAAATAAGAGAAGTTGGAAGCATTTATGATGCATGAAGAACCTTGTTGAAGGTGAGGGCATTCTAAAAGGCAATCTAATGGGTGGGGGTGAAATGTGGGGAGAGCATTAAACGAGTTCTTTAAGTCAACCCTTATGTCAGTGGTTTCTATATGTTCTATACAGTTCCTCTTACTGCTTTACCTCTTCCTCTGTGTATTTGCAACTTTTATGATCAAATTCAGATCCTTTCCTCCCTGACATCCTTCCATTTTTCACTTCAAATCTTGCTTTTCATACTGAGGCTTCCTGAGGGCAGAAACGCATACAATTGTGCATATATGTAAATCCAACAAGGATGAGATACTTAGCATTTTGGATGGAAAATGTACACCAGGACTTAGTACACTATTCAAATTCAGCTGTGGGCACCTAAGGTGAGAATACGCTTCTAGCCTTTTTTTTTTTTTTTTTAACATTCAGTCATTAAAGTGAACTATTGTACTGTAAATAAGACTGTTACAGTAGTGTAAACAGAGCAGTAAAAGTGCACCACTTGATGAGTCAGTTTGTTTCAAGCAACAGACCAACCACAAAGTTGCAGAGTATGTTACAAAATTACAGCAGGTCAGGAAAAAAACTGCAGAGTAAGAAATTTAAATCAGAGGGTGATATTTGCTATTTGTTTGATAGAAACTTTTTTTGTAAAGGGTAATAACTGTCCCTCTTGCAAATGCTTGCTGGCGTCTTTTCCTCCAGCACACAGAAAACACCTTGGATACACTGTGGTCTTTGCAGTCCATTTCATTCACTCCTGGTTTGAATTGAGATTTTCGTGCTTTAATACTTTGCTCCAGTTCTTCCCTATATGCAGCATGTGGCCATTATTGTTCCTCATCTCCACTCCCATTTCTATTGTTATATATATCTTTCATTTTTTTAGTTAGGTTGAATATGAACCTGGGGTCAAGAACAGACAAGTCAGGTGACGGGACTGAGGTATAACTGCCTTTTCCAGTTTTTGTCCACCACACTGTCTTGGTGTTTGGGAGCATAGACTCACACACTGTGCTAAAAACAAAGTTCACATTTCAGCTGTCAGCTGTGAAATAGGCTCACGAATTCCTTACAGAAGCCAGGACTCAAAAGCTACCTGACGTTATCTTTCTTTAAGGTGCTCTTTTCAAGGTATGAAGCCTCCTTTTGGAAAGTGTGTTATTGTCCCTCCGTAAAATCTATCTCTCGGAGGTCTTTTAGAAGCCTGCTATGAGTCCATCTTGCATGTTGACTTTTTCTGTTTGTTTGTTTTTTGTCAGTTCTCCACATTCTTTAGAAATTCTTTAGAAATCTTCTCAGTATGTATGAAGTAAGGCTGCAATTTGTACTTCTTCAAAGGTGTGGTAGGCATAGAAAAATGAATCAAACACCAGACCTGATCAGTTAATGAAGTGTTGTGCACTGCAGTCCGAGCTATCTACATGAACTTGCCTCAGTACAAATATCTCCATAAGTAAGACCTTTTTTCTTGGGCTAGCATGCTATTGTGCTGCCACTGTGCCCTTAATAAATAGTGGGTCACTTTACCGTTCATCTTCAGGGAACGAAATATATTTTGAATGCAAGAGCAGTTATTAAAGGCTAATAAGTATGTAACGGAGCATTTACTTAAATGACTGAATTATGGCTGACAACCTGAATGGCAATGACATTTAAGTTTTCCTGAGACATTTCTCATTCAAATTATGTCACTATTTCTGAGGATCTTTTTTATTAGTGTTGCTGGCATGTATCTCTATAGTGATGATTCCTTGCTGTCAATATAGCCAGTCATTTCTTCTCCACATCAGTTTTGACTGAGTTCTTTCAGTTTTCCCACACAGCTATGTGTATATAAACCTGTGTGAATGATTGATACGGATTCATACTTCTATTCTGAATTATCTTCTTTCTTTTTTTTTTCCTGAAGCAACTACCGAAGTTTTGTCTGTATAGCATGCAAACCCAGCCAAACCTGGAATAAAAAAACTGTAAGCTGAATATGGTTTTAGTACACTGTTGTCATGTATTCTTATACAGTGGCAATGCACTTGTGAGGGATGTTGCAGGAGACTGTCAGTCAGGTATCCTCACTTCTGAAATTTACATGACCTTGGCTGGAGTAAATTATTTGCTAAAGCAGAAATGGGAGGAGCAGCCTTCCAAAACAAAATATTGTACCATAAATCACCCTGAGGATGTTGCACAATTTAGCAAGGCTTCACGGTATCTCTCCAGCACGGAGGGCATTGCTGAAGAACAAGTGATACAAGCCATACAAGGAGGCAAAAGATCTTGAGGAAAGAAGTATGTCTTTGTTCAGGCAGTTTACCCAGGGGGCAAATACAGTACATGATGTACCACATGATAAATCCATCATAAAATGGAAGGTTTTATTTACTGAAGAACTGTCTTCATTTTGAGAGGAATTCCTGCCTAGGCAGAGTGCTTGGAAAAGGCCAGCGTACCGCATAGTCTCACTGAAACTGCATTTTGGCATGTAAGGCACAGCCTTGTGCAATCCTCTTGCACATGGGTGAGTTTCACCTTTGCTGAACTACCAGCTTAACACTCATCAGGTCTAAAAAAGGGCAGGAGATTTATAAAGACATTGTGTTCTGTTTAGGTTTTTGGAAAGCAAATCAGTCAGGCCATCATCCCAAACTCCACCTGTGCTGAAAATAAGTGATGTTGTAGTATTAGACCGTTCTGCAGAACTGAGATTTCTCCTCCCACACTGGACACTGCACATCTAGCTGGAGATGTCTCTGTTCATTGCAGGATGATCTGTAAGGGTTTTTTCCAACTCAAATGATTCTATGAATCTATGATCATCCCGTGGGCTGCTCCCCAGCTGGTTGGTCCCACCACACGTGACTGTGGAGCTCAGAGAAGTCGTGCACAGCTTACAGATGTTAAAAAATATCTGTGGTGTTGTCAGCCATGCAATAAGATGTAGCAGCACACCAAGCTGTAAGACTGAAGGAGAAGTATGCCTGTGTGCTCCAGCATGCTTTACACAGAATGGCTGTTGACCAGCTGAGTGGATGGCCACAGCAGTGCAAGTGGGGTACTGTGTCTTGCAGGAAGCCCATTATGTCCATTTTAGGCTACACTGAAGATCTGTTTTTCTGCATTTGGGTTAAAAATCACAGATCTTCTCTGGCCTCCTCTGCAAATAAGCCCTTGGTTCCTCTGCAGATATACAGTGTTAAATCCATCCTGACAGAGAGGAAGCACCTTCTACATATGAGTGATTTCCATTGCACAGCTTAAAAGACAGACAGACTTGGTCCACAAGTAACTTCACACAGTAGCCATTGCAATTAGTTTTATTGTTCTGTTTTCAAGCCACAGGTCAGACGTACTGCTTGACTTGGCTTGCTAAAATTGTCTATGGCTGGTATAGTTATTCAGATATTAGCCACGACTATTCTAGATAAATACTATTAATGCTTTACCAGGCTCAGCCTACACAACTGGCTTGCACCATCCCTTTAAAGGTACTTATTTTCCTAAGTAGCTATACCTGCTAGCTTTTGTTCCCAGTTATGTTTGCTGTTTAGACAGCTTAGAAGAGTTGATGCTAGGGCTGAGGCAGAATCATACAAACTACTATAGGGGCATTCCTACTTGCAGCACCTCTTGAAAGGTGAAGAAATTAAAGTATTAATATATAAAAACCTACTTTCTCACCTCAGTTCAAAGAGTATCTAAGAAAACATAAGTGCTGCTCTGCAGCCAGAGCCCCTCTTTCCTCTCTTCTTCTGATGTGAGGAGAGGATGACAGTGTCTCATTGTTTGGAGGATGAAACCTAATGCTGTCTGTGGCTCTTTGTCCAGGATTTTTAAAGCTGCCTTTGTTTTAGCATGTTCCAGTGAGGCTATGACCACTTACATGGCAGATCTAGATCGTCTGCCATAACCCCATTGTCTTTGTCTCTTTGAACAAAGACAGTTCATACTCTGTTCTTCTACATCAACTTTAAATGATCCATAACATATAAATGTAACTTAAAAGTAAGTTATTGAGCTGAATTCCTGATGCACTGATTGAAATACACACAAATGGAATACCAAATTAGTATGCTACTGTACCTAGTTGCCTTAGTTACTCTTTAATTCATCAGACCCATCATGCACTTGACTGGACTCATTGCTTTAGCAATGGCTTCAGAAAAAACTATGGTAAGATGTGAAAAGTTAGAATGTATTTGTTGGGAAATGCATCTGGAAGAGGAAGGAGAGACTTTAGACTGTGCAAAGATGCATACTTCTACCCAGAGCTCTGTAGGGCAGCCCCCATACAATGGCTGATATGTATGCTCATCAGACTCATGTGTTGGGGTATTAAGAGTATGCGCTGCATGGCATCCTGTTCAGGTCTTAGATCCCAATTTCGAGGATATTGAGTGCATTTTCAGCCTCCTTACTGGGAGAAGACAAGAGGCAGAAAATCTCAGATTTATGCAGTAACTCAGTTCTCAGTGAGCAGATGGGGCTGTTCCACACACCGATCAGCAGGAACAAGGAGAGCAGCCACCATGACACAGGGACAGCAAACACAGCAAGGCATCTGAAACATGGCCCAGGACATGTCAAAAGATCTTTAGTTAGGCTGAGAAACGTGAGCTCCCCCAGGCTTGTAATCGGTTCACTGGATAAAGAGGCTTTTGTTGATTATTATGAAATGTCAATGCAGCTTTACCTTCAGCATATATTTGGGCCAAATGCCGCTGGAGTAATCATGCCAGAGTGATCTTCTGATCCACTCAGAAGGTTAAAAGGCTGGCATTTATAAATGGCAGATCAAGCCCAGTGGATTGACCATGGATTCTCCCTTGCATGGGGATTTAGCCAAGGATGAGTACAAGACAGCACCAGAACAGATTTCAGTTCAGGCACTTGGGTCTGCTTCACACTGTGCATGGTGCAAGCAAAAGACCTGTTGCCTTTTCATTTCTGAATGGCCCATCTAAAATTTTCTATTTCAAGGGGAAAGAGTATTTTTCAAGCTCTCTATCCACTTTTTCAGACT